TAACATAATTTAAATATCAATAATTCATTATATATATTTCAACATTTAATATCTCAACACATCATATATTACCATATGTTATAAGAGAAGTAACATATAACATTTTTAACATGTAATCATCAACTAACAAACAACAACACTTCTACATAACACAACACAACTTGGAGTTCTACCAACCAAAACAAACTCATCTTTATCTCATATGAAAAATAAAAAAGATTATCTACAACTCTTATAAAGACCTCAGTTTCTAATTCCATCATCTACTATGCTGAAAACCTCCAAAATCATAGTAGCTTGCATAAAAGTTGATAGCTTGACCTTTACTCACAAAAAGGTCATAACTTGAGTTATAGACCTTTTTTAGGTGATTCTAAAGCCATTGGAAAGCTAACTTCCAAAGATACAACTTTCACGAAGACTCCAAAACCAAATTGAATCATTTATCACTAGTGGAAAAAAGACTTTTAAAATCGGTTATTTTTAACTTTTAAAATCGGTTCTTTAACCGATTTTGAAAGAGCCAATTTTAAAAGTTAGACTTTTAAAATCGGTTAAACAATCGATTTTAAAAGTTAACTTTTAAGATCGATTGTTTAATAACCGATCTTAAAAGGCTGGCTGGGAAAAAAAATTAAACTGGAACGGGCCGTTCCAAAAATGGAACGGGTCGTTCCAGTTTAATCAAAAGACCTAAATTTAATTTTAAGGACGGGGCGTTCTCCTTGGAGAACGGCCCGTTTCCAAGGGAGAACGCCCCGTTCTCCTTGGAGAACGGCCTGTTCCCAAGGGAGAACGACCCCATTCTCCTTAGAGAACGGCCCGTTCTCCTTGGAGAACAGCCCATTCTCCTTGCAGAACGGGTCGTTCTCCTTGCAGAACGGGCCGTTCCAGGTTCGAAATTTAGCCAAAATGAGCCTGAAATAGAGAAAAAAAAAGCGTGAGAAAACGAAAAGAGACACAACAAGAACATGAGAAGACGAAAATCAAAACGAAAACGACAACAAAATTTACCTTATTGGAGACTTTAGAAAATGAGAGCGTCACAGATTAAAAAGAAGAATGAAGGGAAAGATTAAAGAGAATGAGAATGGAGGGGAATATAAAAGATTTCTGACGATACTTTTAAAATCGGTTGTTGAAGAACCGATTTTGTATACTACATACAAAATCGGTTCTAAAATAACTGATTTTAAAAGTAGCACTTTTAAAATCGGTTCTTAAATCACCGATTTTAAAAGAATAACCGATCTTAAAAGTTGCACTTTTAAGATCGGTTATAAAATAACCAATCTTAAAAGTACTTTTAAGATCGGTTCTTTTGTAACCGATCTTAAAAGTGTCACTTTTAAGATCGGTTATTCTATAACCGATCTTAAAAGTACTTTTAAGATCGGTTAAATTTTAACCGATCTTAAAAGTGTTCATTTTATTTACAACTTTGTCACCGCGTCACTTTTAAGATCGATTACCTTATAACCGATCTTAAAAGTCCGATTTTAAATCCAATTTTTGCACTAGTGTAGTGCTCAATTGCCATTGCAGCGTTAGATCTCTGTCAAACCTCGTTCTTCACCGTTGTAGTGCTCATTTTACTATTGTAGTGCTGGATCTCAGTTTGAACCTCTTATTGGGGTATTTCCAACACTTTAGTGCCAAAATCAGCACTTTAGCGTCGAATGTAGTGTTTTTCTGCATATTCATGATTTTTCCTTCATTTCTCACATGTACTTCACAAATTTTCTTCCTAAACACCATCTATAACTCATTTTCATCACGAGATTAATACATGCAACTAAAAAATTTCATAAAATACCACATGCAACCATCAAGGTATCAAGATCACCCTTTTTTTGCCCAACTCACTCAAGAACATCCACAACCCCAACTAAACATGCAATTTACTTAACTAACTCAGCCACAAATTACATCTTTGATGATGATCCAATCACATACAACTCAAAATGTAACAATGATTTGAGTTTTAAATTCTCTTACCTCTTAGGAGAAACAAAAATAGTCAAGAGGGGAAGAGAAGAAGTTCTGCACGATCCGTATGGTTCTGAAGTCAAGCCACAACACAACAACTCGAACTTCTCCACTACCCTAACCAACTAAAGAATGGAAGAAAGAGGGAAAGAAGATTTTCAGTCAAAGAGGAAAAGAGGAAAGAAAGAAACTAGCTGTCAATCTCAAAACAACTTTTATGAGCCCCTACTAAACTTAAGTGTTACAAATTTCACTCTAAAAATATGCAAATATCCCTTATATTTTTTTTTTGGTATCAAATGAATAATTTATTATTTAACAAGCAATAATTGCACATCAAATAAAAAATATATTTTATCTTTATAATATATATATATATATAGTCTTAAAATATAGCAATCAAAACTTAATCACACTAAATATTAATCATATTTAATAAATAATATTTAATTAAAATAATTAAATAATATAAATAATATTTAATTAAAATTTTATAGAATAAATTATATCTAATAAATCTTATAATATTAATATATTAATATATATAATACATATGCAAGTATCAAACAATATTTTTTTGCACACAAAAGAAAATATAAGACAAATCAATTGAATTGCATGTATAAAAAAAATTAAATCCATTGAATTATGTGTACAAGGTTGCAAACTTAGAAACAAGTTCATAAAAAAATTGAATAATTACCATCACAAGCCACTGTATTTTTAAAAGTGCATAAAATAGTGAAAATGACATTTTTTTTCATTTTCAAATATGGACTTCTTTTGAAAACAGTTTAAAAAAACATTTTATAAAATTAAAAGTAAACACATTTTTATTTTCTTTAAAAATAGAAATAGAAAACGGTGAAATAAGACGATACTAATATTGAAATACAATTGATGATGTCTTGATATGTACGAGTCCAAATCAGTAAAAGCATTAAAAAAAAATGGTTCAATTGGTGGAATATAGTAAAACAGTTTTCTAGGCATAACCCTTGCTGAAAATTTTAGTTATGGACGTCTAACCAGATTAATTCTTTAAATCTTTATTAGTGGCATTTTTCATTATAAAATTGATTACGTGATGCTCTCGAGTCTTAATGGATTAAGTAAATAGCCCCCCAAAAAAGACACTGCATTCCCTTCATGGCCATAATATTTCGTTCACCAACACTAAACTTGTCCTCCCAATCATTCATTGCTTCGATGATTGAACACACAAACATAAGTACATAATGCCAAAGTAGTTCAGGAAGTAAAACTTAATCCTATACAATTGATTTCTCCATTATTGATCAACAGATTTAAGCAGATATATAAAAGAAGGAACAAAATGTAGGATCACCTTGTTTTGAACTAGAGAGAATTGCGAACCTAGTTCATTACTCCTCCTGCCTTGCTTTATTATGACAAACAATTTGCTCATTATTTTGCTTCCAGTTAGTTTTCATCTGACAAATTGCCCGATAAATATATAAACCGCAGTTAGAGGATTGAGATAGGCAATACAAGCTTTCCAACACTTCAAACCCCAACTTCCATGAACACAACAAACACATTGAAATTGATTGTCATATTATTTAGAAGAAACTTCAGTCTCAGCTCTTCCACCTGCTCTCTCAATTTCTTCTGCTAATCAGATTGCGGACTTCTTTACAAAGCTCCTAGATCTTTCTTCTTTTCAGTTTCTGCTGTCCAGCTTAAGGGGGTGTTAGGATACACAATAATTAGTGTTATTGGCCATTATTTTACGGCTGTTAAGTATGTTATTTTTCAAATAGATCAGAACATATTAGTTTAGTCATCTGATATCAATATAAATACATCTTTGTATCATACTTTAGTGTGCTTTCTCATTTCATTCAATAACATACGATATTTTTCCAAACTTATTCTCTGTATTCCTGCAATATATTCCAGTGCAAACCCTTCTGACATCAATGTTAAATACAACAAGCTGAGTGATATATCAAGTATCTAGACTGAATAAGTTTTGGTGAAAAACCCTCTCCTGTCACTCCCCTGCTTGATAAATTTATATAAGCCCAATCAAGTGAGTGTGTGCAAGGGGTGAGTGGGTGAATTCATGGCATGTGTGCAGTGTGATGATATGAAGTGAATGTATGCAGTGAACTAAAGGTTGGTGCACTGAAAAGGGGGTGCATTGAGTGTGTGCAGAGAGTGGAGTATGTGTTAAGTGGTACAATGAGACTACTAGAGTGGGAATGGTGTTGAGTAAAATGGTTGAAAAGAGAAAGCTATGCTATAGTGCCGGGGTTGGTAATTGGTGCTAATTTGGACAACTGAGAGGGTGTGCGTGAGAGAGAGGAGCTTTCATTTTCCATTTTCTTCTCCCTTATTTTCCTTTGTTGTTGTTTTCTCTTTTAAATTTGTGCACTGAGGAAATCATGTAAAATTATTTAGGGAAAACAAAACATGGAAAAAAACAGAATGTTATCATTAAAGAAGCATGGTAAAGTGCAGGGTAGACTTGATACGGTACGGTTATGCCAATAATTAAGAATGTGTTTGGATATCTGTTTCATCCAACTAAACTTATCTCAACCCAATCTAACACTCATTGTTTCTCTGATTATTCATTGAAAAGTATAAAACTTCTATTCAACGCCAATATTAAGAATGTGTTTTATATCAGTTCCATCCAACAAAACTTATGTTCTACCCAATCCAACACTCATTGTTTCTCCGATTATTCATTGAAAAGTATAAAAATACTATTCAATGTCAATCAAGCGGATTTCAAAACACACCTAAAACCATATATACTTCCCTTGAATGGTGAAATTTGCTGCTACCCCTAAACTATTTGTATCTCTCTATCAAACACTTTGGAGTTTGGACATAAACTTGATCACTCGTGACCTCCTAAACTCTAAAACTCTATAATTATGATGCACCATCAAATACTGTTACCGAAAGGCCACAAGTAATTCCTAACTTTTCACTCTGCTCTTTAATTGCATGTTCTTTATCTTTCCTTAGCACAGTTAAGATGTTTCAGTGAGTAGACCAGCTTCAGGTATCCTCAATCCTATTATTTCAAGCATTTTGTAAATGTCCAAAGAACATTCATGCACTCTGTCCCCTGCAACAAAGCGATGCACTCTACCCTGCACTTCAATCAAGCTCCAACCAGCAACTTTGCCCGCAATTCTCTCACCCATTAACCCCCTAATTCTAACCACATCCTCCCATTTTCTTGCATTTGCATATACTCCAGCTAACTGTACATAATGCCCATCATGATTTGGATCCAACTCTATCAACTTATTCCCAATCTTCTCCCCCATCTCCACAAATCCATGAAGCTTACACGCATCAAGCAGCGTTGCCCACATCACAGGATCCGGCGCAACTGCCATCCCCTCGATCAACCGAACCGCCTCATGAACTAAACCAGCACGAGCCAGGAGATCAACCATGCACCCATAATGCTCCATCTCAGGCTGAATGCCGTAACCATCCACCATCAACTTAAAGTAGTACCTTCCTTCACCAACCAAACCAGCCCTACTACAAGCATTAAGCACACCCACAAAAGTGACACTCCCAGGTACAAAACCTTCATCAATAAACCTCCGAAAAAGCTCAAGCGCATCCCTCGCACGATCATGCGAAGCCAGCCCACAAATCATGACATTCCACGTCCACACATCCCTCTTCACCATCCCATCAAACAAGACCCTCGCCTCTTCAACGTAACCACACTTTGCATACATGTCAACCAAACCCGCCCCTATACGAACAGTCACCGGAAGCCTCAAATCCTCAACCGTGGAATGAACAAGCCTCCCATACCCAAGCAAACCCAAATGCGCCGAAATCGAAAGCAAGGTAACCAATATAGCCTCATTCGGCCTCACACCCTTCTCCCTCATCTCTCTAAAACACTCCAACCCATCTTCAAAAAGCCCATTTTGAAAATACCCCATTATCATGGTGCTCCACGACACCACATCCCTCTCAGGCATTTCATCAAACATCTTTTCCGCAGAACGAATTTCCCCACTCCTCACAAAACCCGCCAACATGGAGTTCCACGTGACCACATCGCGGCAAAGGGTGTCCTCTTCAAACACCTTTTTGGAAGAATCAACACAGGAACACTCGCAGTAGAAATGAATCAGCGCGTTGCGAACAAACACGTGGCATGCATAACCAAGCTTGATGATTTGCGAATGAACTTGGACCCCCATATGGTTGTTTACATTCTTGGTGCATGCGTGGAGGAGGAAGGTGAAGGTGTGCTGGTTGGGGGTGAGGAAACGGCGTCGCATGGAGGAGTAGAGGGAGAGCGAGAGGGAAGGTGGCGCGTGGGTTCTGGCGTGGCAGCGGATGAGCGTGTTGAAGGCAAAGACAGTGGGGTAGGGGATGGAGGCGAAGAGGGAGAGGGAGTAGTGAAGAGGGAACGGGACGGGGGAGGAGAGAGAAAGAAGAGAGAGAAGGTGGAGGAGGGTGGAGGGGGCGTGGTGGCCCGAAACGACGGCGCGTGCATGGCTTTGTTTGATTTGGTGAACGGAAGGTCGTGGCGGGAGAGATCGGAGTAGTGAAGGTTTGCTTTTGTTGCTGAACATAAAGAAAAGAAACGAAATTTGTTGTTGGAGCAATGCTATTTATTCTAAAAAAATCGACAGAAAAAATTTTCCAACACTTAAAAAGGTTGCTCTGTTCAACTTATTATATATTTGACTTCAAAAATCCTTCGACTCTGATTTTCGAAACAACTTCCAATCTATTAAGTTTTTGGTCAATTGTTTGGGAGTACATAACATTAATCTTAATCTCTCAAAATGTTATAATTTACCTCCCTTGATGTCAATTGTCGTACATCATCGTCAAAGAGTCATACAATGTTGTTGTCATCAACTATATATCGTACAGCGTCTTTGGAATGCCATCGACCATCCTAACAATCATTGTGCTGTTTGAATAAAGACCTTTAACAAAATTTCATTCCCTCTGAATCTAAAACCTCACTCAACAACCATAGCATAAAGATTTGAGCTTGTGAGTATTGACTCACAGGCACCACTACCCAATAACAATTTCGTGAAGCAAGGAAACACACAAATAATGGTTCTCCTTGCTAGCAATTAATCACCCAAAAAGTCCCCCACGACAGATATAATGATGGAGGGGTTCCACGATGAAGGCATATATATGGTGAAGAGGTTTCATTGTCATCGACAGCCAGCGATGGAGGGACTCTAGTGGATGATGCAATTGGTGGTAGGAAGATCTAAAAAGTAGAAAGAATTACATGAGGAAGGCACAACATAGACATACGAGGAAGAAATTAATTTGATGGTTAAAAATTGTGGTGCACCATTAATTACATGAAAAAGTGGTTCATGGTGGCCTGCGTTTTTTACAATAGACAATTATTTTTACAAACATTAAACAAAATGAAATAGAGGGGTATAATTTTTTTTTTTTTACTAAGAGTTTCAATTATATAAAACAAAAAAAAATGATTTGTGAACATGCAAAATGTTATAACACCTAGTGAAAAGGTGTTAAAAGTGAGAAAGTATAAGTATGAACAGAAAAGATATTTGGACACCCGGCCCACAAACAGAAAAAAAATTTAGATGCTTTTTTATTTTTTCTCTTTCATAATATCGAATCAAATTCATTTTGGTCTTTTGTAAGTGTCTTCAGGATGTGTAGGGGTGTAGCAATTAAAAAATTGTCTAAATTTTATGATTTAAGTATAAGTTGATAACTGATATGATATGACAAAAATTAATATATATATATATATATATATATATATATCCTTAATTTATTTTTTTTTTATTTTTTATAT